AAAAAAAGGGGGGGAAAAGGGAAAAAAACCGAAAAGCCCCAAAAGAAAAAGGAAAAAGTTAAAAAAAAAAAAAAAAAAAACAGGAGGGAAAAAAAAAAACAAAACTAAAATGTACAACAAAAAATCAACAGTCAGGAGGTGATTGGTGCAGTTTATTTTTCCTTTGAAGAATAATCTGTCAGCTGCAGCGAGATCCTGTGTCGCTGAAGTCGTAGTGCCGGTGCAGAGCTGTAGAGGTGTCCAGGCGGGTGTTAAAGAGTGATGAACACACACACGCATACAAGCAAGCACGCACACTCACACAGTCTCGCACACAAACACGCACTCTCACACACGGTTGGTTACAGTCTGTGGTTATGGTTTGTTAAAGTGGGAAAGAGGGAGGGAGGAAGGATTTGAGGAAGATGAGGAGAACGAAGAGGAAGAGGAAGAAGGGAAGGAGTCAGGGTTGGGAGGGGGGCCAGGCTGCTTTAGTTGTGGATCTTGATTGCTTTCTCCAGGTATGTGTAGCGACCTCTCTTTGGAGCTTTGTTGAAATGATCCAACCCTAGCCAGGGCCGCGGGTGGGACATGTTACCTGTGGGGGACAAGATGCCAGAGAGGGTGTGAGGTGCCTCGGCTGCTGCCCGATTAAAAAATAAATAATAAATACAGAAAGATCTGGAAATACAACAAGAAAATGTGTTTCAGAGCAAAACAAGGCCCCATAACCAGCGTTTCTGCACCAACTCAAATTAAAAACTTTTTAAGACCGTTCTGAATTAAATTTAAGACCTGTGTCACGACAGCAAATTGTATTTTTTACATTTTGCCAAGTCTTTTTTTTTTTTTTCTCAGAATGCACATCGCGTCATACGTGTTGGCGACAGAAGTGAGCCAGTGGCAAAGACGAACGTCGCCCGGGCAACTGGCAACAGTTCACACTCATCAATGATAGACGCAAACAAGACAACTAGCTAGCAAGGGTATATTAGCAGCTAGTTTAGCGGTAGCATCAACCGCTTGAGTCACAGAAAAGTCTGAGAAGAAAAGTAAATAGTAAATAGTCGCGCCACAACAAAAAGACAAACATTTCTCCGCAGTACTTTCTTTTCTTCCCGTACTTATTCACGGTTGGAAAATCATAAAAGCAAATTCAAGACTTTTCCAAAGAGTTGGTAGCAACCTTGGCTTTCCCCCCCCCCCACGTTCTCCATCAGCAAGAGCCTTCTTCACAAGTTCTGTTAATGTTTAAAACAGGAAGTTCATTGGCAGAGCGTCACTATAAATAATCTCCAAAGTTTAATAAATGACCACACCAGTAATTATTTACCACATTTAACTGTTTGAAATCCTGAAATAGCGTTTTAAAGTTTGCTCTCCCTTTCATTTGGCAAAAAAACAAACAAAAAAAAAACAAAAAAAAACAGCTTGTTGAGAGGTCACCTAAAATCCTTTAAACCCATTTGTGACACAACGTGGTTGAACTAATAACGCAGGGCAGCTTTGGTTGCTCAAATGTTACTGGGAGTTCTTTGTGGGGAGGAAATCCCTTTTGAACTTTAGTGACCTCAAACCCAAAACTGAAACGCAACATGGAGACATTTGTATATTATCGTGATGCTTCACATCCAAAAGCTGCATAAACAGGAAATACCTGGCTGTGGCTCAAAGTCCTTCAGGTTGACCTCGTACTCGTCTTCGGTGATGTACTGATGCCGGCCCATCATCACAATCGCAAACTTAAACTTGGAAAAAATGTAAAAAAAACATGCAAAAATAAATAAAAATGGTTTTACTTTTCTTTTTTATATATATATATATTTTTTTTTTTAAAACAACGCGACACCACACCTTCTCAAATTCTTTCTCCTGGATGTCCAGCATGGTCTGGATCCTCCTCATCACCTCCCTAAACGGCTCCCCCTGCAGGGAGGAAGGAGAAATTTAAGTCACTCGATGGAAGGAGAACAATCCGACAAACGTTGGACACGAAGCGGCGGCGGCACATGCCTGTCTGATCTTGAGCAAGAAGGGAATCCCAAAGGTGCCAAAGACTTCCTTGTGGAAGTGAGCGACTGGGATCAACATCTCAGTGTCCTTGTCCAAGTCCACCTGGTCCAAAGGAATCTCCTAAATGTAGAAAATGGGATTTTTTTTTTGGTGAAAAATTTTGGGTTGTATTTATTCTGCAGCTGGAATATTCAAAGAACCAAAGCAGCACTAATCTGATTCTAAAGAAGCAAACTGAACCGGGCGCGTCAGAGCTGACAGCTCTGCAGAGATGTAGCTGAAGGAGGGCGAAGCGGCCAAAAATACACACACACACACCTCCCAAACACACTTACCTCTATTCTAAAGGTGCGACTGGCAGCAGGAGATAAACATTCTAGCAGCTCGTCCTCCTGGTGAACCCCGATGATTTTATAGCTTACTATCTCTAACAGCCTGCAGAGAGGGAAGGGAGACAGAAGAGAGTTTGATGTGAAGCAGCAGCTGTTCGAAATACAAGAAATTATGAGGAATTAAAAACGACAGCAGAGTCACGAAAAAGGTGGAAAATATTCTTGTGGTTCTTTTGTTTTTACTTTGAGGTTTTTTCAGGCCAAATTTTCCCACTATCCAACTATGTAGACAGATCAACTGAACACATTAAATAATACATTTGGGGTTAAATATTTATCCTTATGGTCACGGTTAGTGAAAACAAAGTTTAGAACTAAAGCAAAAAAAAAAAAAAAAAAAAAAAAAAAAAGTAGAGATCTGTTTTAATTTTTTCCATTTAATACATATTTTGCAGTTAGTAACTCAAATCGCAAAATGATCTAAGCGACCGACAGAAACTCACGTTGCGATGTTAAGAATAAATGTCTTCACCCCACCAGGAAACGGCTCAGCTACAGAAGGCATAAAGATGCCAAGATCCCCAATTTACATTTTTCCATACTTATCCAGAAGTGGAAAATAAAAACCAAACATTTAAGGCATCTGTAGGAGATGTCTATTCTGGTATTTAAGTAAATGTCAGAGGAGAGAAGATTTAATATTTGATGAGGCTGCAGCAGCCTCGTACGTCACACCAAATTATTTCACTTTGATTTTTATTAAAAAAAGAAAAATAAATCGTAAAAAAATGAAGATTTTTTAAAAATATTTGGAAATGAAGGACTATAACAGTGGCTGCTCCTCTGTGTGTGAGACATGAGCCACTCAGGTGAAGTTATGTTTCTGGGTGAGAGGCCAGTCGAACTCCTTAAAAAAAGATCCATTTAACCCTCAATTAGCTGAAAACCTCAAAACAATACAATGTGAGTGAAGTTAAAGAGCAAATCAGTGCACCAAATCCTGAACAAGTTTGTATCCCTCCACCCCCTTCCATCACCTTGTATTTCTTTATCACAAAACATACGTCG